ATCAGATCCCATAACTACATTTCCCGTAGTGTATATGTCGCCAGAATATCCATTAAAAGGCGATCAGAAATCTTAATATTTTGATATAAAAATCGAATAAATGTACAAAGTCAAATGTATTTTTTTATTCTTATTGAGCTCACAAGAAAAGATTTGCAAAATTGAGTAATAAGGAAATCAGAGAAATTTTATTTTCTATAAAACAACAAAAATAGAAGACAGTTTATGAAAAATGAATATTTATATTTAATTTTTATAATAATCTGTAAAATTAAGAATAAATCTATTTTTATAATAGAGCTCAGTAAGTTATTGTCAGATAGCACAAGAAAAATCAGTACTTACTACCAAATAATTGTGATTCATAGATTAATATACTTTTTCTTAACTAATATATGATATACGGACAGTCTGATTGTTGCTTTAAATAGTTTGCATTCCAATGATTAAATATTATGATGTTCAAGTTTTATAATAATATTTTAAAATAATATTTTATTGATAACATTTATGAGGATTGTAAAAGATTACAGACTGTTGCAGAAAATGTTAATGTTTGCTATATTTTATTAATTCATTATAAGATGACACGTGGCTTAATGCCTAAAATGATTAATAATCGGCGATACCGGCGTTCAAATCCGACTCTCACTCTACGCGTTTGAAAACAAGTGGGAAGTCATAGAAGATACAAGTAATGCAGATCTAAGTAACATAAGCTCTGTTTTTATAGCTGAATTTGAGCTACATTTGTAAATGAAATAGATATATGTTTTAAATTTGGTGATAGTGAGAAAGAAATTATAGTACGATCCAGTACAGCAACAAAAACAGATCTATAAATCTAAATAACATCAAAGATACTTTAATCTTACCCATTTTCGTAATAACTATCATTACTAATATTACTATTAATGCACTGTAAAAAATGTTCTGTAAAAATAAAAATGTCTTCTATTATAAAATAGTATTTATTGTGCCATATAATACATCCTTAAAGAATATTATTTTTTATAAATAAATATAATTATTTAAATATATTTCCTATTAACATTACCAAAAAAATGAAGTTTGCCTCAAAATTTCAGAAGCATCTTCTTGATGCTCTCCATTTTCAAGATACGGAGGCGTTAGTTCGCGATAAGCAAGGCAAACGCGTCTCGACGTGACATCTTGTCGAAGTACAGAATGTTCCCATTTATATCTATCAAAAATCATGTATAATATTAATTCCATCAAAAAACCATGTATAATGCGTATTTTATCATGATAATATTCATAAGCAGAATATTTATACCTTGCTGGACCATATAAAACCATAAGTGATCTCGCAGGCATTGGTAATCGTACTACTACGTTATCATCAATGTCTAGAGATGATGTATTATCGTCTTCGTTTAAAATTGAATTATATTTTGAAACGCAATCTAAATTGTATCGTGTTAATGGTCCATTGTAAGGAGTCATAGTCAAAATAGAATCGCCGAGAACGTTGACGGTTACTATGCGTTCACCCCAGATCCAGCAGTCGTCTATATGGGGATCAATAGAAGCACCTCGTTCAGGATTATATTCAAGTGAACATTGCTCGACAGTTTTAAAACCGTGTAACAATGGTATTTCCTCAAATTTACTCTGTACAAATCGTGTAGTCTTGGGAAAACCATTAAATGTTCCTAATTGCAACTTCTGCTTTTTAAAGTTACATTTTGGTCCAAAATTCTATAAATTACACTATCTTAATTTAAATTTGTAAATATATGAAATATAGATATTTTATATATATAATTATATTTTTTTAAACGCTATAGAGATATTACCTGTTTTCTTCTACCACTTTGTGAGGCTTCCCAAGGAAGATCATCGAGCGCTTCTATAAGCTCCTTAGCTTCATCTTTGTTTAAAAAATCTAGCTGAGACATACATATAATACTAATAATACTGTAAAAAGATTACACACCACACACACACACACACACACAAAATAAAATATATTATATTACCTTAATATAAACACCAGGATAATCAATTAAATTTTCTCCATGATTAGGATGTTTCTTATATACGTCTATATTCCATCCAGGTGATAATTTATTACAATATGGACAATAAATATAACTTTTGTTTTTCTAAAAGATACATATAATATATAAATATATCTTAAATTAGTTAAGAGAGAAATCAGGTACTAGACAACTATATGTTTCACATATACATATTTCTATATAATTGAATAGTCAATAAATTTCTATAAAAGAAGGTATAACTTTTTCTTAATTTCAATTTATGTTGAAATAGTTGATGTAAATCAAATATTATAGAAGGATAATATCAAGGTAAAACAAAGATCAAAATATAAATGCATCTTTTTATACAAAAAACTACACAAACTAGTTTTTTTGGTATTTTAGATAGCTAAAAGTAGAGACAACAAATACGGTATATAACAGACATAGCAAATGGAAAAATCAACTAAATAATAAAATTCTCAGATATGAAGTTTTTTGATTCATATCTTTACAAAAAGAATAATCTTTTTCGGTATGAGAAACCATATTTCTAAGTAAGAAGATACAAGTTTCATAGATAATTGAATATTCAGTTTTTTACACACATATATGTCTTATCTTAAATTTAATATATATATTTTTCTTAAATTTTATTAAAATATATTTTAATTTTACTGTTGTCGAATTTAATTTAAAATTATTTAAAGATTCAAATTTATAGATCATTTTTTACAGCTATTTACATATTATTCCTTCATTAAAGTCCAATTCCTTCATTAAAAATTCATTAAAATGCTTCTAAAAAATTTATTAGACAAATATTCTTAAATTATACATGAAACATATAAGTATTTTGTGAAAGTATTTTGTGAAAAAGATTTATATTTCTTCATATTATGATTTATTTTGTTTCATTCTTGGAATATATGCTTTTAATAAACGCAATAAAAAATTAAATTTTGATTTGTCTTTCTGTTTAAAAATTGTAAATATTTCAATATTTTTTAATATCATTCTAACTATATCAAATGAGACTGTACCCATAGGGTCTTAAGAAAATATATGTATTTTATAAATAAAAATGATTCCTAAAATTACTAATAGCAGAATTGCAAAGATTTGACGAAGCATGTGATTGTTAAAAGTAATCAAAATAAAATAGAAATAAAAATTGACAATATATTTATTTCCATTAACAGTGAAACTACCAATTGTTGGCAAGCAAAAGAATATTTTTGCTTATGAGCGCTTGTAATCGGTTTGGAGTAATGTATCATCAATCATTATCATCAAATACATGTATTGGTGAAATAATCAGGGAAATCCCTGACGTTAATGTGCTTCGTCGTTATTGTGTTATTGTTCCCGAGGAAGGAATCTTACGGCTAATCGCGGAAAATTCCGATGTCAAGTATCATCGATAGGTTAGGAGAATCTGAATACCTGTAATTCACTCATCAGGTCTGGCTTCGAGATCTCGTATTCGTCTTCGCAAATCAAACAAGAACGTATTCCTTTGCAGCCGCATGGTCGGACGGTCTCCATTTCTTCACCGTTTTCTTTTCTTTTTTAAAGATATCGCGCAATAAAACACACGAAATGACAGCCTCAGCGAACGCGTGTCCGAAAGTCGATTCTCGAAAGCACGACGAGTTATCAATTTGCCATCGTCGATGTATCGATTCGAAGGAGACACTTGTTTCTCATTAGATTATCAATTTAAAAATTACGCTCTTAATCATAATTTATTTTTAAGATAAAAAGGGAAAGAGAAAGATATACTTATAATAAAAATTGTTAACGCGATTATTAATAAATATTGTAATTTATTCACCCATCAATATGTAAGAAATTAAGATTATTTTATGTTTTTCCTTGCTGTGATCAAAAGTCGTGTTTCAAAGAAACGAAAAGATTACTCGATTCTCATTATCACTTCGCCGTAGGTCGCGACCCGGGACACTGTGGGCATTATATTTCAATCTATCGTCATTCCTCGTACATAGTCGTGCACGATAATTTCGCATCGAGAATGACATCGAAAATCTGCTTCGTATTTTTGCTGGCCATATCCGTCAGTTTCGCTAGTAAGTATTATATTTTTTTATAATATTTCTAATTATTTTGTGAAACATCTCGTTTACTCCTCTGTATATCCATATGAGACCTTTTTGTTTTCTTATAAATCAATAGAAGAAAAAAATAATGGAGCTTCGTTCATTCCATATTGCGTTGTTAATATTTACTTTTCCATAATATAAAAAAATATAATATAATAGAAAATATGTAAACTAAATTGCAATTGTGAATATATATGTAATTAAATAAAATAATAAAAGTAATAAAAATTTTCCATTTTTGCAACATTATTTTCATATTCTCTATAAATAAATACACACATACATACATTATATATCTATATGTATAATAGTAAAAATATGCTGACAAAAGTGGAAAATTTTTGTTAAAATTATTATACGTATTTTATTTTGTTACCCCGAATAACAAGGAAAAGTATTTTTTTCATTTCAAAAGAAGTTAAATTTAAACTTTTAATTTAAACTTTTTTTTAACTTAAAAAGCTTTCTTTTCTCGGGCAAAAAAATCATTCTTTTTTTTTATGTTTTTGACAGAAGTCAAGTGTCCCAATATCATCAATAGGAACCAATGGACTAACGTACCCGCTGGAGATGTCAACTATTTAATAGTACCGATACCTTACGTGATAATACATCATACAGTCACTCCAGAGTGCGATTCTCGCCAGAAGTGTTCAACTCGTGTTGATAATATCCGCAGTTATCATATGGACCACAATGGTTGGGATGACATCGGTTACTCGTAAGCTACCTTATCTCGATTACCAATATTAATTTTTCAAATCATCCGAGTGCGAATGATAAATTAAGTACTCGTCGTTATCGTCTTATGAATATTTTCGTCCATTGAATATTTTAATTATATTAGTGATAACGTTTTCTTAACGAATAACATAGAAAACGATCTTCGTAATGTTTTTAACGATGATCATTTGCAACCTGTTTGATCGCAGATTTAAAGTAGTACCCGCTCTACTACTGTTTGTTTTTATATCGCGTTTGTTTGAATTTTTTAACAACATAAAGAATGCACATGGAAGATCATCTGTTAACGATTATTGCTTTTGTTTCTAAAGATTTTTGATTGGCGGCGATGGAAACGTATACGAGGGATGCGGATGGACGCGCGAAGGGGCACACACGTACGGATATAATAAAAAGTCTATCGGCATAGCTTTCATCGGAAATTTCGAAAGTAAGTGATAAATTGTGATAAATTGATAATATGAAACGTATTTATCATTTCTATTCGATGTATCTACATCAATGCGTATTCCTTTGGTTCGTTTGGTTCTATTCCGGTTCTATCTCCGTTTTCTTTGCAGATGCAGACGCTAGTCAGAAAATGTTAGACACCGCACACGAATTAATCAAGTGTGGAAAATCCCAAAGAATCCTTCGAGACAATGTACGCGTGCTCGGCGCAAAACAGGTGCGTCAAACGCTTAGCCCTGGAAATCAGCTCTACATGCAAATTCAAAATTGGCCCGAATGGTCAAACCAACCGTAGACCGGCACTTTGAAAATAGATATGCTGTCGATCAAATCGAGATTATCGAGTTTCATACAAATAAAATATTAATTGCTTAAAATCAAAACGTAAATATATTCGTTACTTCTATAATAGAACTTAAATCTCTTTTAATACGACTTTACGACGGGTAAGTTTTGTTTTTCTTGCCGCAGTGCTGATCACTGTTTATATTAACTTCGTTAGATTATGTAGAACAGGCTAGAATATTAAATATTATTCTGTAATAATTGTCGTAATCTTGGCGAAATTAACAAAAAGTATAACGAATGTAAGACCGTAAGAAATATACGTCAATGTTCGAGGTAATAGTTTGTGTTTTATTATATTACCTTTCTAGCGAGAAGTCCAGCTCCTGATCTAATATAAAAAGAAAGTTCTTAACATACGTTTTTTTTTTTTAACGCATTAACATTTCAAGAAGAACGCATGTAGACGGCGCGGAAATAAATCGTGGAGATTGTGACGAATTTAGGAGATGGAACGGTGTGACGTCGCAACGTATATCAATTCTATTCAAGTTTCTCATTCTTTTTTTTTTTTCGATTATTAAGAGATCACGTAATTACTAATATACAAATGATACATTATCACCGAGAGTTCTCTTACACAGAATAAATATATTGCGCATATTAGCAGGTTTTTCAAGAATGACGCAATCGAGCCGTGCTTAAGTTTTTTTCTTTTTAATCATAGTTATTATTATCGTTAATATCCATATAATTATCAATAACTACAGTAAAACACAAAACAAAAAAAAAAGATATAGTGATATCTGTACATTCTCCTTAAATGATTAACGTAAACATTTTTTTGTATACCTTGTAGCCTACAAATAGGAAGAAACTAAACCATAATATTCACAGATATTTTACAAGATAGATGAGGCCCACCGTCGGGCGCACACATCGCGCGACAGCGGCGCAAGAAACATGTAAATCCTGCGCCCGTACACTATATGACTGGCTGCAGAAGAAAGAGCGAAGGAGAAAGCACAGCGCTTCTTTGAAAATAAACGGGACGTCGCGCGACACGTGCACACGTTCGTGCCTTACATACTTATTCATAGCAATAATATATACGCGTTTCTCTTGTTTTTTTTTTTTTATCACCTCGCTCAATTATACTTCTACACTGTACATATCCACAACGCATCTTTTACACTGTACATGCACACGCTCCGCGAGTATCCGCGCTGCCTTAAAGTAATTGTAAATTTCAGGAATGGACGGAACATAATGGTGATCGCAATACACACGCGATCCATTGCCGAAAATAAAATGAACGATGAATTCATCGAATAGTCAGTTGTTTATAAAATTAATAGCAAAACAGAGATGAGAGAGTAAAACAAACATTGAGATGCTCGCTCCAGCATTGTGGTTACATGTATAATTTTTATAAATCATGATATCATGATATATTGTACGCATTAGAACTGTAAATACTTGGATAATATTTCATTCGAATCATTATCATCCGATTTAAACTCTTACTTAAATTCAAATATCTGTTTACGGATTATTCAAATTATTCAAATCTATTCTATTTATAAAATGCGCCATTCATAATTTGGATAGCGCATTTCGGTCAGTATAATTAACTGAATATTACAGATCTTACTGTGCATCGTTTTCTAACAAAATGTTAAAAAGAAAAAGAAAAAAGATTAAGCTTGTCGCTTCAGAGAAAAAACAAAATATTTTAAATAAAAATATTTATTATTTATAAATTGTTCTCGAATTAGAATATGTGGATACGCGTTTCGTCCATCCCTGATACTTTTTCATGAAGATTTACTCTCTAGAGGCATACGCCCTATGCGCAGCAGCATAATATCGTAAATAGATATAAGTTCCTTAGTTTACTTAAAATGTTTTTTTTTGACGGCTTGGTGTGATATAGCGTAATCTCTGGTCTCTATACACATAAGCGCATTTATTATCTCGGACACGAATGCTAAAGAGTCTATGAGTCGTCGTACGACGGAATCGAGGGATGGGGTGTAAAGATAGGTGTACATTGCGCATGCGAACGAACGATGAACGAACGAATAACGAATGCGGTCCAGAGACGCTAATTCGTTAGACTTTGCATACGCTGCTCGTTCGTCGTTCGATTCCGCTCGAATATATCCACATCTTATAGGATGGAAGTGTGTATGGGGCGGCGTCAATGGTCAATGAGATCGGTCATACTATTTCTCTCAGTATGACAAATAAGCCCCATTCGTCCTTAAATGTGCAGATTGGTATGCCCTAGCTAGCCTGCTGTAATAACGTTAATAATAATTAATAGCAGCGGTAATAGTAGTGGTAGAGTAGTAGTAGTAGTAGTAATAGTAGTAGTAGTAGTAGTAGTAATAGTAATAGTAAGTAGAGTAGTAGTGGTAATAGTATAGTAGTAATAATAGCAGTGGTAATAGAGTACTCGTAATAATAATAATATTAATAATAATAACAATAATAAGAATGGGTAATGATTAGTATCACCAGAGCCGTTTATTAAACTAAATTAAATGAAATTTCGAATTCGAATTTCTCTTGTGAGAAAGATCGATTTCCTATTTATTTCATTTTGAAATTTATCAAAAATGTGTATGTGTATATATATATATATATATATGTGTGTGTGTGTGTGTGTCTCTCTGTCTGCATGTTGGAACTGTATCGACACTGGCAACACCGGAAACACTGGCGATGATATTAATAATCATAATAATCATAATGATAAAGAATAAGTAGCAACGTTAAAAATCTTTCTATAAGACGTATAACGCTAAGAGTATGCTAAGAGTAATAATAATAATTCACAAATTCGCATCCTGCTCCGGATAATTATGATACACTATGTTTGCAAATGGATAGATCCACGAATAGATCGAAAATTCTACTCGGGTAGCCCAACTTTTTCTCATTTTTCTGTGCTAGATGTCTAACATTATAATTTACATTCTAATTCGACACGACCGACGGCGGCAGCAGCAACGGGCAGCAGCAAACTATCAATTACAAGTAATATAATACATAGTTATTTATAATAGAGCAGTATTATACAAAAACACATCACATACCGCGCGGACCATTTAGTCGGGCATCCCCTTATATGTTTTTTATACTTTTTGTCGCCATTTCTTCTTCTTCCTCTTTATACGCAATTATATTATCGTTAAATACTTAAAATCACAGTAGTTATGCCCTCGGTGGCTCGCTTAATGTATAATTTACACAATTTATCATTAACGCCTATAAACCTCACTTAAAATAGCTCCTGTGTAATAGTGATGAGTGTACGTTAAGGATTCTCTTATTCGGTATTCTCCATCGAATTTATCCATCTAGAGCAACGGGTTATTACTGTTCCCTCTATAGGAAGGACGAGCGTAAGTAAAGCGGGCGTCGTGTGACGAATCGAAGGTCTTGTCTTGAAGGCTGGGGTTGTGCCTGACTCGCTTGTCAGAAAGACCAAGAGTGACGTCGGTCGATCCCACAAACGTTGTCAATGATTGACGCGAGTCACAAGCCGAAATAAGGAAAGAAAAAGGACAAGACAACGAAACGAGCTTGCCTGCGCGAAATTCATCGAAGAGAGGCACGCACGATGATAACCCAAGTGCTAACCTCGCTTCACTGCACAACCTCGTGCCTCGCTCTTTAGGCCTACGATCTAAAAGATTGGCTTACCGCCAGGTTCCGTTTGATTGTCACTGATACAACTCCAGAAAAGGAGCTCTTCGTCTTGAATACATCCCTCTTTTTATCGCACAACTACGCATGTGTCAGATGGACACTTCAGGCTTCATGCCATACGAAGCGTCCTGCGGTGCGTGAAGGCGAGAGATATGAAAAAGATCATAATCCGGTAGATCACTAATTGGCCTCAGACTGTGGCGATGACAATTAATAAGTGAGCGATTTTTGCAACGCGATGATGTAGGTCCGGTGCGATTCTCGCTAAAGTCTCATGCGCAAAATCACAAGATGGGAAAATGTGAACTACGTATGCCGCCTGAAATACAAGAATAATTTATAACATTACATATTTTAATCGTCATTAAAACAGAGAGAGAAAAAATTAAGAGACAAAAGACAAAAATAAAGTAAAAAATATCTGATATAAAAAAACTTCTAAATTCTCTTAAATGGAAAGACTTTAATCTTATATGTAACAAGTTTATCTTACTTGTTGAGATCCAGGTGCTGCAATGTTTACAATTCCAGCAGCTTGCTTTTGTTGGAGATACATAATAAATCCGGATTGAAGATTTTTGCTTTGCTGTAGTACATCTACTTCATCACGGCCGCAAGGTAGTGCCAACAGCATACAATGTTCATCTTCAGTCTAGACATTGTAAATAATATGTATATTATAATATATAAATTATATATGTTATATGTAAATAATATATATAAAAATAGTTTCACATTTAAAGTTCATTTACAGCATACATACATATATATATATATATATATATATATATATATATTATTATTTTTTAAATCTATATTAACAAAATCTTTTCAGATATAAATCGTTTTCAATTAGCTGAGTCGGAGATTTATTTTAGATTTATAACATTGTATGATTCTACTGAAGACTGCGATACGTACCTGCATCTTTCTTGCTACGCCCTCGACTTGAGTTTGTTCCAATCTCATTCTTTGAGCTATTCTCAATGGCGGTGTAGAGCCGTCACTGTTACACGGCAAACTATCCCTGGCCACTCTAGGATTACCAAAAACAAAGTGCATTTGTACCGCCGCCTGATCGTTCTTGAGTGCCAATAAACCTTGCCACATAACCGGATGACGTTGAAGTAGCATCTGAAAAGAATCCGCTTGCGGTGGCACTTGAGACGCGTAAAGCGGTGGAGTGACGACCTGATGTTTCCTACACCTCTCCGGCGTGGGAGCTCTACCCATCTCAGGCGGGGCTTCACTGGCAGCCATAGGATATTGAGAACGCAAATGGGCAGGTGGTGGTTCGTAGTAACCTGGTCTAGCCCCAGCTGGTGTTCCAGGTAGAGATGGATTATTACTTCCTGTATTGTATTGTGGTGGAGGTGGTGGTAACGGTCTCATTCCCCCGTGTAACACGTAGACTTGAGCAATTTGTGGGCTGTCGGTAGTACGATCCTGAGGTGTTCTCGTGCCCCGTCTCAATTCTAAAGGAGGACTGTGATTGTCTTCTATACCAGTCTCGAGTTTCGGATCTAAAGGTAAGTGTGGAGATCTTGTTCCTGGAATGTGATAAGCCATGCGAGGAGTCGTTATCGCTTCTTGTTGCACGCGGAGATATTGATACTGGAGCATCTGAGAATGTAAATAGTGATCACGAGCCAGTCCTCCGTAATGATTGACTTCACTCTGAAAAAAGAATTATTTCTGATAAGTATTTATATCAAAATATCGTCTTGATGTGTTAATTTATTAATAAATTCGTAATAGCATTCTTAAAACTTCATGCGATGCGTCGAAACTATAATCAATGTCAAAAAAAAAAGACTTCCATATAAATCGCACAAGCATTTTATTAAAAGAATATTAGAAAGTAAGTACCTGTGAAGTATTAGCGTGATGATGGGCGGGTGGAGGCAATGGAGGGCTCTGGGAACGATGCGGGGGAACAAGACCATACTGACCCCCTGGTGGAGTAGCACCCGTACTTCCATGCTAATCGAAACCAAACAAAGTTAGTTTAACCATTTTAATATATTCTTGATATCTTTACCATTTCATTTTATTTAAATACGTTATTTTTAAATATAATATTTAAATATATATTATTTAATACACACAAATTGATGAAGATTAATTAAACGCTTACCAGTGGAGCCTCGTACGTTGGCATTGGTACACTGCGACTTTGTGGACTTGCAGTCGGCACCATGATGCAGCCAGACATTGGTACTTCCACTTTTTGAGATTCCATCGGTCCAGTGATCTGAAATAAATTTTCAAATTAGACTGACTTACAACAGCGTGTCTATTCAAATCCGAAAAAAAAACTTCCTGAGAATTCCCTGATTTTGAAGACAATTTGTTAAAAATTTCAGATAAAATAAAAGTATTTTTAAATATGTTTTATAAATAAATATATATTTATTAAGCAAAGTTCTGAATATTTCCCATTCATAAAAATTTAAAAATCAATAAAATTAAATATCACTTAATTGTATTTTGTACGATTTATAAACTTGTATGAATGGAAAATTTTTAATTGTTTTAATAATTTGAAAAATTTTGAATAAAGTTATAAAGACTCTAAAAAATAAATATTTTATATTGCATAAAGTTTTTATATTTTATTTTTAAAAGTTACAAACAAAAAAACATATAATGCATAACTGGTTGAGACAAAATTCAATTTTTATTAAACTATTAATTTCTATCTTACATATTCTTCGAATTTAAAATGTTTCAAATATTTTTTTAATCGTAAAAGTAAATTACGTACAGGAGCTTTCGGTCCCGATGGTCGAACACTGTTGACACCAGTTGAAATTTGCGGATTGACGAGATGCGGCTGCGTAGGTGGACTCGCTACTGTTCCAATCGGTGGCACTACACCTTGTAATAAATGCGTTTTCGGATTGAGCGGATGAGGTTGTCCATTGATGCCCTTCAGAGCAGTGGGCTGTGAGACCGGTTGATGGATTCTTGATGTTGAAGTAGTGACGTTTACACTAGTAGGATGCATGTTTATTGGCATTTTCTGCGACATATTTACTATTGTCGACGTTTGTTGCTTGGCCGCTTGAAGAAGATGCTGCTTGGGATTGGGTGGTGCTCCAGTGTTGTTAAGCACGGGAGACATAGGTTGACCTTGTTTCCCGTTCGCTGGGGCCAGCGGTGCTGCCTGTTTCGTACGTGGGCTCAAACTGGGCGACACAACTCTGCCAGGTGGTATTTGCAGATTGAGACCTTGTATCGCTTGCGCAGGTGGCTTAACAATGTTCTGTACTATTGTTTGGTTGGATAAACTTGGCGCTACAGGTTTTGTGATGACCTGCTGTTGAGTCGATGTTATCAGCTTGCTGGCATTCAATACATGCGCCTTGAGACTCGTAGGTTTCGCTTGCGAAGGAGAAGTAGATATCGGCTGTGCCGTCGTAGTTGGTGCGATCGTCGCAGTCACGGTAGTCACGATGGTCGTGCTTGCTGTCGAGGATTGCGCAACAGTAATAGTAGAAGTTACTTGTATCGCCGGGGATTGCGGTTTCGTAATCACGCTAGTTTGTGGTTGGGCAGGTTGATGAAGTGTACGCTCTATAACGGCTTCTTTCTTTGGCTCCGCCGATACTAAGACAGAACTCTCGGAAACTGGCTTCACTCGTGATGTTTCGCTCGTCGGACTTGCGGCAGGTAACCCACCACCTCGAGATTCGCCAAGCGCTCTGTTGGTAGCTTGCGCTTGACCAGATGACGTGGACACAGGAATGTATTGACCCTCCTCGGATTCTCTCATCGGTATCAGCATTCCCGTGACTGGATCGATTAACGTCATCGGTTCGTGTGAAATCGTCTTCAGTGGTGCTGGTGTAGCAACCTGTACCGGCTCTTCCACTTTCGGGCTTCCCGGCTTCTGAACCGATTTCGATTCTTCCTTGTTTGAAACTTCTTGTGGCGTCGTTATTTCCTTAGCCTTTTCTTCTCCACTGTCATCGTTATTCTCGGACGTTCTTCTCGCTGCTTTACGGCTGCTTCTAGGTGATTTGCGAAGTTCCGTCAGCGGCGCGACAGGTATCTGTGCCGTATTACGCGGGGCATTGTTATGCCTGGTACTTCGTCTAGTAGCGTGTACGTTGCCGCTGTTACCGCTAATTAGTCCTTTATTCGTAGGTGATCCACGAACAACATCTTCGATGACATCGTCGACGGTATTGCGACTACCATCTCGTTCTGCCAGCCTTCTGGATTTTCTTGTATTAGCAGCCGGGGAGACAAATTCCTCCGGCGGCACCTCTTTGACCGCGGCCACAGGTGTCGCCGGCTGTGCATTCGGTCCCGTCACGTTGGGTCCGGGAGATTTAATTGTAAGAATAAGTCGTGGACGACCGGCATTATCCTCCTCACTGTCGTCGTGGAACTCGTAAACGTCAGCCGGCAATTTATTCTTCTCAACATGGTGTTTGCTACCTCTGGAGCTTCTACCACCTCGGCGATGAGAAATAGCGCTCGCGTTTCTACCGCCCCGCCTAGTAGTAACTCCGCCGCGACTACCACGCCTACTCTTCGTTCTGCCGCGACGACTCCTTGTACACTCGTTTTCACACGTTTCCGCGCTCTCATCTTGATCATCGGCCGAGACGAAATTCTTTTTGCTCTCGCTCTCCGTCGATTCGGTATCGAACCAATCGGACTCGTTTTTAGTGATGTCGTGCGAGTCGCTATTTAGGCTCTCGTTACCCTGTTGAGTTTCGTCATCGCCGTCATTACCTTCGCCGTCGCACAAAGCATCGATCTTCTTTATGACACTTTCGATATTCACCTCCTTCGCAGACCAATAATCGCTATCCTCTTTGCTATCAGTTGGATCTTCCTTGATATCGATAGCTAGAGGATCTGTGCTCGGCTCTTTCAATAGATCTTCTACTGGCTCTTCATCTAATTCAACTTCATCAGTTTCCTTTACAGTTTCCTCTTCCTTAATTTCATTCACAGGCTCCATTTTTATAGGAATTTCTGTTTCGAGTTTCGGTACAATAGTATCTGTAGGTTCAACTTTAGGAACGCATGGTGCAATTTCCGTATTGATGACTTCTTGATTCTCTTGTTTCAATTCTACGTTTTCTTCTTTTATAGATGGTGGATTCAAGGGCTTTTCGGATTCGGTTACATTACATGCAGCTTCGTCTATTGTGTCCTCCTGTTCAACATCGGCTGGTTCCTTCTTTATTTCGTCTATCGGTTGAATAGATTGTACAGGTGGTGTAAGTTGCATCGGTTGAGCTGTTTGATTAATCTGCGCTTCAGTGTCTAACTCCATTTGTTGTCCCGGAATTATACGTGGCTCCAAACATTCCGGCGTGGTTTGCTCGTTTATCGGTGGCGTTGATACAGAAGATGCAGTAGATGGTACTACCCTAGTTATTATTGTCTGTGATACCGTCGATACCAACGGTATGTGAGATTTCACTACTTGACTTTGAGAGACGGGTGACTGCCTCTGACAAGCAACAGGCGTCTGCGGGACAACGCATTTGTCACTAGGTACCGACGGCGGTGCGTTCGACGTTACTTGCTGGGGAACTACAGGTACTACGGTTTTTATTAACGGTTGATTCGGAGAAGAGGCAGTCGGTGGGCCTAATATATGTATGGATTTGTGAAGTAAATGAGGTTGACCGTGAGCCACAATCACAGGACTGGGAGTAGATGAACGAGGAACGTGCGTAGTTAAAAGTTGAAGGTTCGACACTTCCTGCTTTTGTCTTGGCGACAACAGATTACTATCCGTTGTGATAGATACGGACATCTGTTTTTGCGTTCTGGATGACATTGTGTAACTATCCGTAACGTAGGCAGGTTTGCCAAATACTGGACTGGATGTACTGGCATTGATCTCGATCTTTGCCGTTTCAGGTATATACGTGGGTGGTTGATTCGGCGAAGGAACTTTAGGAGAAGTTGACGCTTTGTTCGTTGGCTCTGGTATAACGGCAGGTGATAATTTTGGTTCTTCTAGTCTCTGCGAAGGTTCGTTTGGATTTACAGGAAGTAACGTTTCGATTACGGATTTGCCGCCTAGAGAAGAATCGCGCGAGCTCTTGACCTGTATACCGGATGCCAATGGTGGTACCGGCATATAAGGCCGCGGTGGGATGTTCAGGGTCAATGGTGGCAAACCGCCACGTGGATAACCGGAGACAGGTGCCAGCATTCCCGATGCGTGTTGTATCACTGGTTGTTGAGTCGCCGCAGTCGAATAAATTTGCTGGATTGTCGTTTCCGGTCTTTGAGCGGGAATGGGTACGCACACTGCAATCTTGGTAGGTGGTGGTGGTGATGTCGGAGGTTTTCTCTTTCCTACATTGGATACGTGTGGATTCAATGTAGGATTTCGTGACCATTGTCCGTTAGGTGAAAGCGGCTGAGAGACGCGTGGTGATGGTTGCGATGGTACTAAAGGTGGCATTCTCGATGGAACCAATGGTGGCAATGGTGTTGTGTTGGAAGATGACGAGCAGGAAACTGTCGTAACATTTTGCATTTTGGGAGAAGCTTGGCGCATCGGTACCATTTGAGATTGCGGGGATACAGGAAGCCTCTGATACAGAGGTTGCACGGTGATCGATGACGGCCGCGAACTCGGAACAGAAAGTGATTTGGGTACGTCGCTTGTAATCGGTACGCTACATGGTACCAGCATAGGCTGCTTATACTGAGGTGGTGGTGGCGACGCAGAGGTTCTTTGTACCTGCACTGTTCTCTCTGGATTGGTAATGTCAGCATTTGATTCGGGAGTTTCTACCTGAACAGGCTTCACAGGTTCGCGTGGTTTGCTGTGTTCGTTTAAACTCCAAGAATGAGCGATCACAGAAGTCGGTGGACTCTGCGGCTTCGTTACTGCGGATGGTAATCGCATCTCAACTGATTTCTCGGGCGCTGTTAAGACGGGTGCTATAGGTAACGTCTTTGACGGAGATTTGTAGAATGAAGGTATATCCGGTGTCTTTGGTGGTTGTGTAAGATCAACTGTCTCATAATTCGGATCTTCCTCCGTGTCGGTGTCAATTTGAAGATCGTGCTCACTCTGTGGTGTATCTGGTTTTAGATCCGCATCACCTTCCCCCGTCGAAGCATTTAAACTTTCAACAGCTTGCTGCATTTCTTCGACATCCTCCTGAGGTGCCTCGGCTGGTGGCCCAGCAACCTCATCGACTTCCGTTTCCTCTTCTTCGCCTTCATACGAGAATTTCTCCGTCGAGACACCAAATCTTTCTTCGAGTAACGCGGCGACGGCATCTTCCGTTTCTTCTTGCGATATTGCCACTCGCGGTTTGTCCTCATTCTGAGCCGGGGGCGTCGTTGATACAGATACTTCGGATTCTTCTCTGCTATTACGCGATTGACAATTGTTATCTCTTTCATCCGGCTCCGAGATGCTTTTTACGGCGTTTTCGTGGATAGTCTCGTCTATTTCTATTCCAAAGCCGGGTATGAGCTTGTCTTTCTTCTTTTCTGATTTAGGGATCTGAATGTTACTGGTTACAACTGGAGGAGTAATCGACGGTATGGTCGATACGTTAGAAGTTACCTTAGGTATAGGGCTCAATAATGTTTCTCTAGACGTAGGCAAGTTGGGCGATATTGTCTTAGATACTGGACTGCTCGCTCTCGGTGGACTAGGTTCAGCACCCAAATAAGGTAATTCGCCGCTCTTTTCGTGATGATGATGGTGATGGTGATGATGATGATGGCAATCCTTCCGACTACGTTCCTCTTTCGACTTCTTTCGTTTCTTTTTCTTTTCCTTAATTTTCTCCGGCACTGTCGAAGGTGTGGATGGTTCGACACTGTCATTATCATCGGTAAATCGAAAGACATCGTGATCATTGGTTTCGGCTGTACATGCAGGAGTAGTCTTCGGAGAGCTTGGTATACCCAAGAGTTTCGCTTCGATCTCTCGCCCGGCTTCGGCTAGATCAACGCTATTCTCATCCTCCGGTTGATGACGTCGTTTCTTCTCCGTCTTTCGTTTTATTCTGTCCATGTCGAGCGAACTACGACCACCATCGCTGTCTGAAGCATATGCACTGTTTTCCGAAGTCATGTTACCAAATCTGTTGAAGAATGTGTTAGGTGGACCATCATCAACATCATCCGAAAGAGGGCCGAAGATGTCTTCCATACGTTGAGAATCCCTTGCTTCTTGTCTATTGAGCCTCTTTCGTCTAGCTTTAACTTTGTCTTCCCCATTTCGATCACGTCTCTTCTCCTTTTTACTACGTTGCTTTTTATCGGTTCGCATTCTCTCTTCCGCGTTTTCCAATGTTGTGACAATCGTAGTAACGGTAGTCAATTCCATGCCGTGATTCGGTCGACAATCTGCATTCGACGTAACAACATTGGCTTTGTTCTTATGCTCTAGATTTTCTGCTGGTTCAACTTTCAAGTTCTCTTCACTCGAAATGCTGTTCTTCTGACGTTTCTGTTTCTTCTTGTGTGACTTTTTCCGCGAGTCTCTCTCGTGATTATTCACCACTATCGTGGGATGATTCGTACGAAAACCAACTGTAACTCGCTCGTCTTCATCGGATGTATGAGGTTCTTCTTTGATATTCGTATGTGCGCTGTTTACAATAACGTTCGAAGTCTCCAACGAATTTTGCTTTTCCTCGGTATCAGCAAAGCCGAGATCGACGTCGCTCTCGAGAAATTTCTCCGTCTTTACAGGCTTGCGAACCTTGTTGTTGAATGATTCCTCTTCCTCACTAGTGTCCGAGTGAATACGAGATCGCGAACCCTTTCTCGATTTTGTTCTTGTCGAATCCGATTCGGAAGAAGCCTCGTCCTCGGTCAAGGCTTTGCTACTCACTGAATCTCCATCCCACGACGTGCTCTGCTTTTTCTCCTCTCGTCTGGCACGACTTTGCTTCAATTGCGAAAATTTATCCTTTAGACGCACCTGACGCTTCTCTTCTTCTAGTTTTTGCATGTTCTTCGTTGAACGAGCCTTCACCTTGTCATACATACTAATATAAGCAGGTTCATCGTCGACAATATCGAAGATCGAATGCTTCTTAGCAGGTTCATCACTGTCTGTATCTGTGGCCGATGGATTTCTCGCCACTTGTATCTCGTGAGTAGAAAGACCGTCGTCCACATCACTGTGAGAATTCATTGTAGATTGCTGCTGTTGATGATGTTGTATGTCCCTCGTATGATTTGTTCCCACAGATGATTGTTCAGTCGATGGACTCGAATCATTTCTCTTTGACAGTTCCAATCTTGACAAAAATTCTTTGTCAGATTCGTGTGAGACTCTTGGACTACGTTCTCTCGTCTCTTTCTCCGATCGATTCTTTTTGCTCCTCTGCTTCTCCTTATTTCCACTGTCTCTCGAGTTGTTTTCCCGTGTCGATTCACTGTGTGTCCCGTCTCTGCTATCCTGCGTTGCATTGTTGCTTTCCTTACTGTCACGACTCTCTCTACTCTCTCGACTAGAACGATGCGAGTCATTACGATGCTTGCGATCTTCAGATCTTCTGTTTTGCCTAGACCGGTCTTTGCTGTCTCGCCGATGATCTGAAAGTTTTACACGTTTAGCGTCCTCATCCGTGGGACAATCTTGTGACGAACACCTGCGCTTGATCGGCACTGGTGCTGGAGCAATTTGACTCTGAGATTGAGTAGTGGGATGTAGATGATTCTCGATTGATTGCCGTCTGTTATCATCGCGTTCTTTCTTTTCTTTATCTTTTTCTTCACGGTCTCTTCTCTTCTCACGCTCGGCCTTCTCTTTTTCTCGCCTCTCTTGATCTTCGCGTTCTCGTCGCTTCTCCCTCTCGTGTTTCTCTCTTTCAAGTTTCTCAAGCCTCTCCCTTTCCTCTTTCTCGCGTTTTTCTTTTTCAATTTTTTCTCGTTCCTCCTTTTCTTTTCGCCGTTCACGCTCTAATCTCTCCTTCTCTTCCCTTTCTCGTTTTCTTTCTCGTTCGAGACGTTCCTTCTCTTCTCTCCTCCTTTCTCGTTCTAACCTATCCCGTTCTTCCTTTTCTCTTCTTTCCTGTTCTTCTCTTTCCCTTTTGAGGCGCTCCTTTTCTTGTTTTTCGCGTTCCAATCGAATTTCCCGTTCTTTTCTTTCGCGTTCTTCGCGCTCTCTTCTTTCACGTTCTTCACGTTCCCTCCGTTCTTGCCGCTCCTTCTCCTCTCGTTCTCTCCTCTCACGATCGATACGTTCTTTCTCTCTTCTCTCCTTTTCTTTAAGTTCATTCTCCTCTCTTTCCTTCCTTTCACGTTCTCTTTCTCTTTCTTCCCGTTCTCTTCTATCTTTTTCTTGTCGTTCTTTATCTTGTCTTTCTTTTTCTCTCCTCTCTTCGTCTTTTTCGCGCCTCTCGCGTTCCTCTCTTTCTTTTTTCTCTTGTCGATCGCGATCTTCCTTATCTCTTCGCTCTTGTCTATCACGATCTTCTTTATCTCTTCTTTCTTTTTCTTCTCGTTCTTTCCGTTCATATCTTAGTTCTTTATTTTCCTTAAAGTCTCTATTGTGGTTATCCGTATTGCCGATATCACTTACGTTCGAACTTTCATCCCTCTCTTTGCGATTTCTATCAACATCGGCTTCTTCCTTCCGTGATCTTCTTTGACAATCTTTCGTTTTATTATGTTTTGATTCCCTGGTGTCTTTTCCGTCTCGGGAATCTCTGTTCTCTCGACTGCTACCGCTCGTTTCCTTCCTCAAACGAGACCGAGTTAAATCTGTGGAAGATGTGGATAATGACGATGAAGAGGAAGAATTGGATGAGGATGTTATGGAAGACGATGGAGCTATCGAACTGGTAATAGTCATGGAAGATATCGCGCCCGTTACAGACATCGTCGTTGTCGCTGCTGCCGCTGACGAAGTTGTCGCAACAGATATCGCTGTTGTTGTTGCAGTCGAGAAAGCATCAGTTGACGCCGCAGTCACTGTTGGTGACGGAGTAGTCGCGGAGATACCCAATCCCCGATGTGTCGAGGCTCCAAGATTGTGAATACTACCTACGCTACCACTGCTGCTTAGAAGACTACTGGCTGATGCTAAACCACTACCATTGCCACTACTGGCTGCTGTTCCGCTAACAAGACCGATTGGTAGAGAAACCGGTGGTAATTCAGGACTAACTGTCTTGATAGAAGTGCCAGGTGTGATCGGCGTCGCTGGCGTTGGATGTATGCAGTTATGTTGCACCATCCGCGGGTCACTCTTTAGTGTCGTCGAGGCCATCGAGGACGTCGTCGGAGTCAGACTCGCGGACAATGACGTATTAATACCGACTTGACTAATCGAAGTACCGCTGGTCGGCTGTACCGGCGGATGACTAGGAAACGGATACTGCAAACAAACTTTGCTGGTACAGCCGCCAGTAGTAAGACCAGCGGTGCTTCCGATCATGGAACTAACGCCAATAACACCAGTAAATTCTCGTGGTTCATACTTTTCACTAAAATTCTCTAATCGTTTCGAGTCCTCGTCAAATACACTTCTTTTTGCAAGAACCGACTTTACAATGTCGGAAGGTTGCACTTCATGAAGATCCATATCGAGCAGTTTGTGTCGAAATCGGAATCTTTCTGAAGCGCTAGCATCGAGTTTTGCCAGGGCGTCACCGCCAGCAGCACTCAATGCTCTCGAACCGGACCACTTTTCATATTTTTCATCCAAAGAACGTATTCTCTCTTCCAGACTAGGGGACTGCGGTGCTGTCTCGCTGTCCGAACTGGTTGGGCTCGAACTGGCATGTCTAGGAGGCGGTGAAGCCGGCGGTTGTGGAGCGGCACGAGGGCTGGGCGCAGTAGACAAGCTGGCACATGGCGGACTAGCAACTTTGGCGAGGCTGGCACTACTCGATCGAGTGCTGCTGCCATTGTTATTATTACTACTGCTCGTATTATTGTTGTTGTTCAACATTTGTGCCGCAAACCTTGGTAGAGGCAACGATAATGGACCCTCATGACTCCTTTCTCTAAATCGTCTTGGTTCACTTGGTACCAAATTCTCTGGTCGCTCATCAACGAGAGGAGTACCTGGTCGAGATCCATCATGATGCTCGTGATGTCTAGAAAAATATCGTTATAGTTAAGTTTTTACAATTTTTAAATTCTGCTTTGTTATTTTTCTAAATCATAATACAATTTACCTGCTAGTGGCATCCCGACGACGTTTACAAGGTCCAGGACCCCTGCCCTCGCAACTACCTCTCCTTGTGCTATGGTGCACCACTACTTTGCTATCACTAACGCGCCTAAAGTCCATGCCTTTTCTATTAGAGTGCGAGGTAACGAGTAACGACGCGATTTCTGGCTCGTCGTCTTCACAAAGTATAGTCGTCGACGAACTGTCAAGCTTCGCGCGTTTTTTCGGTACAAAACCGACCTCGTCGCCGCTACTATGACATTCCTCGAGTTGTTCCAATAAATGAACACGCTCCTTTTGGAGATGTCGAATATCGGGCGGAGGTAATAATGGTGGTGGTGGCGCAGGTGGATCGACGCTCGTAACGACGCTTTGAACTGTATGACGTCGCGACGGTGGCGGGCAATCGTCGTCGTTCAGTTTGCCATCGCTGAGAACACTACTCTGATAATCGTCGTGACTCGCACCACTGCCTTGACTGAACTCATCAATGCAGCGCAGCCGTCGTAACCCCGGTTCACCGTAATCACCATCGTAGTAAGAATCCTGATAAGATCGTCTATTACTTCGTGACATTGCCGTCGGATGAGCTGGACTCGCACCTGGTGTACTACTTCCAGAAGTTCGTGAATAGTTCGCCGTTCTCGATCGCGGGGGCGTGTCGTAGCGCGTGAATCTGTTGCTCGAACTCGTCACTGTCGAGTCAAAGCTACTACGCTCCCGCCTAGAAGGAATCCTTCGAATCATGAATGCACTCGTTTTAAGTTCTTGATTATAACTCGTGAACTTATAACTGTAAGCATGCGTTTCATATTAATCAATGAAGAAAAACTTAGAAATTGTTTCAAATATAAAGATTCTTAAATATCAAATATGTACGTTAAAAAGAATTTCTTATTTTGATATATCAATAGCTAATTTTTAGCTATAAAAAATTGATTTATAAAGTATACATACGTCACATCAAATGATGACGCTGGCGAAGGCCTCGAATCCCAAGGTTTTTCACTAGCGTTTCCTTGACGCTCGAGATGTTCATAAAACGTTTCTTGACATTCCCTTGATGCAAAATCGACTTGTAAACGGCGACCACGAAGCGCAGCTCCTCGCATCTCTTTTACAGCAGCTTGAGCGCAACTTACTTGATCAAAAAAGACCAGAGCGTGACCACGCTCACGATCTACCACTACCTGAGTTATCGGTCCAAATTGATGAAATTGCATGTTTAAATATTTCTCGGACATACAATCTAAAAAAATAATGAATATTTAATGTAATTTTAAATATTTTTCTGAGTGTTTCTTTTTACATCTCAATTTTTAAATTATCTGTGTGTATTCTATGAATAACTGTATACTTATAAAAATATTGAAAAAAATAAATATAAATATATACACACGATAATAGTATTGCTCGATATTAAATACGCACCTCCAATACCATCGACCCAAACACACGATGTGGGCATCGATTTCCCGAATCCAAGTTTAATACGATTCGCACCCAGATGTTCACCATCCATCGATCTCATCGCTTTAACAACACTACCGATATCCGAATATTGACAGAAAGCATAACTCGATACGGCGCCTTGTTTCTTAATATCAATTTCCTGTAAAAAATATAAAATTAACACATTATCATACACATTATCTTGATCGAATTAGAAAAGCTATCAGGATAGCTAGGAAATTTAGGTTCGAATTCTAGCTAAGATATTTTTCACAATAATAATTTCTTGCAAAAGGAAAAAGTTAATTTAGTATCATTAATTTGATGATTTGATCATGATTGATTTATTAAAAGAGAAAAGATTTAATTTTAGCTTTGAGTCATTCAAGTCTTTTAAAAATAACATAGGATATAGGATACATAAAATATAAATAATTATTATATCTTGAATTTATACATCTAAAAATGCAAAAATAAGAAAATAAGAAAATTAAGTTCCAAAGATCTTGTCTTATCGAGTAGATAGAACAGAATTCTATTCTCGTGTTAAAATCAATTTATTTTAGAATTTATTAAACTTAAATATTATTTTTATTTGTTCTCATTTCAATTTTAAATTTTGTTTAGATGCTATTTTGCTTCTTTAATTATTCAATCATTTATTGAATAAAAAATTCTTTCGACTTTGAAATAAATTTCAACTTACTATTATTTCGCCGAATGGTTCAAAATGCTTCCTGAGTTCAGACGACGTAACGTCCTTTTCGAGGTTTCCAATAAACAATGTTCTTGTTGCTTTTGGATGATATTCATCGAGTTCCGCCTCGTACGGCCTAAATTCATTGTCCTCCACGTCATAGCCCTGATAAGGTGCCACTTCAATTTTACACCCAAAGAAAAGCTTATCTTGCGAAACCTCGAGAGCTTTTTCCACGTCTTCGGGCTTCTTAAAACAGACTAGGGCATATCTGTCGCCGGCTGCACCGACGACCTTCACCCACGTCACCTTGCCATGCTTCTTGTACTCATGGAAAAGGCCATCCTTGAGAGAAGTATCACTACTGCGAGCTGGTAGATTCCTTACGCAGATGGCCAATGGTCTACGGTCCTCCGTGATAGCTACGTTGCTCGTGCGATGTGGCGAGCTGCCGGGCGACGTGCTGCCCCCGGAAGTGCTGCCGCCCGAGCTACCGCTTCGACTACTGCTGCTACTTCCGGAACGACTGCTACCGCTTGGCGAACTGCTCCCACTGCGCGATTTTCTGCGCTGTTTTTTGTGCTGTCGCAGAGCACCGACACTACCGCTACCACCGCCTCCACCACCTCCTACAAAAGAAAAAAAATAAAAATTTAACATTTACCGCGAACGTTAGAAGAAAACGTATTTGCTATTTTTCTTTGTATAAGCCAAAGTTTATCATCATGAACATTTACAGTTGAAAGTAGGCTTCCGTATTCTTTACTCATCGGGACTGAGCAACCTTTTTTATCCTTGACATTTCCCTCGAGTCTCATTCTAACGGTTCGACGCTCGAATAAGTAAAGAATATAAAAACCACGCTGTCTGGCTATCGCGTGCAATGATATTGATGAAAAAACTATACTCTTTTATCGAGTCAGATAATTACCTTGTTCGTCTGAGTAAGCGTCATTTGTGGCGGGCGAGGGTGGTGGTGGTGCACCGCCGTATCTCGAACTCGTCGGCTCGTACGACCAGGACGATGGTGGTAGACTTCCACGATGACGATCTAAATGGGGCGGGGGCGGCGGCCCAGAGACGTACGGGCCGGTCCTCGGGTATAGCCGATCCCTCGCCCTGCTCGATGTCACGTGATAGGAGCTCGCAGGTGGTGGACGGCTACGGGATATGTACCCGCCAGGGTCCCCCGTCGATGGGTCCGCCGAATGACCACCGACGTTGCCGCCACCGCTGCCGCCGCCGCTGCCGACGACGCCGCCGCCCCCGGTGCCAACCACTCGGTTGCTCCTCTCGCTACCATAGAAGCTGCCGTGGGAACCACGTGAGTCGAAATTCTCGCCTCCCCTGTCGCCTCGTTCACCGCCACCGCCGCTACCGCCGACCCCGGCACCGGTGTTCCCGCCACCACCGCTGCCACTGCCGGAAACGCCGCCTGTTCCGCCACCTCCTCCCCCGCTACCGCCGCCGGATCCATGATCCTCTGAACTTCTGGAAGACGAAAAAACAGGGCTTAGTCATTGTTCAAGGGACGGCTGCTATAGCTAGTACTCGGGTCGATGAATCGTCACGAAATACGTTCGTCACTTCCTCCTCAAGGTTCTGTTTTATTTATTTAACGAGTCACGCGGTGGAAAAGTACCGTTATAACTTAAGAACGGAGTTTTAATTAGCGAAGAAAAATGTTTCTTCTTTTCTTTTTTGTTCTTGAAATAGTATTCTATTAAAGGATCGTTGGTATATTTTGAAATTGTACATTAATTTGTTTATACTTATTTTAAATCGTTCATCGTCGTTATCGCATTGTTTTATTTGTTAAGCTTGTTTATCAAAGAGGAAGATTGGCATATAGCAAAAACTTTCCTTTAATAAAAATCGCACTGGATTAAACTGGTTTCATTCGATTTTTAGTAGATCTCACGCAGCTACATCCAATTTAATATTATGAAAAATAGAATTTTTGTATTTTTTACACACACACGCACGCACGCACGCACACACACACACACACACACACACACACACACACACACACACACACACACACACACACAACTAATTATTATTATTATTATTATTATATATTGATATACTATTATTATTTAGATGTTTAACAATAGATGAATTTAGTACAGAATCGTTCCAAAATTGTTGAATAATCAATCTAAATTTACATTGATTGAAGACTATCAGACATTTTTTAATAAAACTCAAACAATTTTTCCTATAATACTAATATTATAACGCTTACAAATAATCTTCTAAAAGATAAATAAATTTTTATGACTATATTATAATAAAAAAGTGATTTGATTTACCGATTTACCGAACTTCAAATAGAGTTTAACGTAAATAAATTATTCAAATTTATAGTATTCTTAAAAAACTATGAACAAAATATGATTTTAAATTAACAATTTTAAATTCTCTATAAGAATGCTCTTCTTTTTTTAGAAAGACAACGAAAAGAGACATTGCATTCAATAGAATGCGATAGAAATATGCTTATTGTTAAATATTTTGTATAACAATCGTGCAGGTCATGAGAAAACTCATTCATGAACTTTGCAACGATAGAAGAAACTAATTATCATATGCTTTCATCCGTATGCAGAACTAAAAAAGAAAAAAAATAAAAATGATAATCCATATCAGTCATGTGAAAGAAAACACGATGAGATACAAGTAATAATAATAATAATAATAATAATAATACTGCGTAAATTCCAGTCTGAACACTTAAACATTTTAGCGGAAAATCCAAATATCGGTGCGAACATTTAATGCCAGGGACGTATTTGCGTTTCTGGTTGGTGTTTCCAGAATTAACTTTAATTTGTCGTTCAATTATCCCTAATTTCTTCGCGATTCTTCATTTAATTTAAATTCCTACTATAATTTTAATTTAAACATTTATGTCGTCATTAACAGAGACAAATAGAACGTGAATCAATTTAAATTCAAACATTCTCGACTATAAAGTTAGATTCGATTATTCGACAACTTCGACCGACTTTAAAATTGTTATACCCAAACTTAATTAAATATCGACAATTTTAAACATTGTGAATTACATGAGAAAACAAAATTTCGTATTGTGAAGTTTTTTATAACCAAGAATTTAAATATTTTAGAAATTGTTAATTATGCACATTCAAATTTGAATTTAGCTTTTTTCAAAAATTCAGAATATCTAAATAATCAAAAAAATCAACATAGAAAAAAGATTAGTTTTCTCAATCAAGACTACATATAAGCAAGAATATTTATACTTTATACTCTATATATATAAGCAAGAATATTTATATAGATATTTAATTTTATATTGAACAAAATATATAATATTTGCATGAAAATAAATTTAATCAATTCAAGATCAAAATTTTTAAGAAAATTATTTAATAATATTTTTGTTTATATGTAAAAATATTTTTCTTAATTTAAGATTAATTTTTTTCTGTAAATTATTCGTGTATTTTACAAAGTAACTTTAAATAAATAGAGTAGCAAAAAATACACTTAATTATAAACGATTTAATTGATTTACATAACATGTAAATTTCGAGTCTTTTAATTCCATAGAATTTTTTTCGATAATTATTATAAAAACATTTTTATACATGTGTCGATCAAAAGTCATGATTAAGCGAGCAATTGTTGCAATGGGAATTCATCAAACGAGATGTATATCGAGTAATTACGTAAAAATAATAATCCTCTGACACATTGATATCCACCATAATATTTGCCAATTATTCTAATAGCTTTTCTACATTTAATAAAAATATAAACATTATTGAGACATCATTAATGCGTAGGAGGTAAAACTTGTTACGTTTATTGTTTCATTATTTGTTAAAAAAATTACTTAGCAAAAACAACAATTAACAATTTAATAATTCTTCAAATTAATAATTCTCTTAGCAGGATTACAATCCACGATCCATCAAGAAATACACTTGTTAAGTTATAATTAATGAAGAGAAATAATATAATGAACGACTCTAGTTCGTTTTATAGAAAATTAGGTCATCGTCATGCACATTCATTTACTGATAACATCTCGGGTCAGCACGATGGTTGTAAATACAACATCAATATTGTGGAAATGCCTGCGCACCTGAGCAATCTAGTCCGCACAAGAAAGAAATCATCACTCGGCTCAAATATCTCAATCCCGGCGCTCATATATACGGCCATATAAGAGTCGGATGAGGTGGGATGTGGGGTGAGGAGGCGAAGGGGATGAGGCAAGTCGAACCGGGCTCGTAAATTCCTGACTACACTACTGACAGTTAACGCTCTCTTTCTCCTCCCCCCCCCCCCCACGCTCCTCTATCACCGCTGCCCGCTATAGCCGTCACGCTTCGACAGTTACTGCTCCGCGATAGCGCCCGCGCAGCCGTCGGGATGTGGCAACAGCGCCAGCGACCACGTCGTCACGGTCACCTGACTTTTCGTGGAAATGCGACGCCGCTATACTCTCCTCGGTCGCGCGCGCGTGAATGTAGGCGTGCAGGCGTGTAGCGTGCACGCACGACCTTTTTTCCTCCTTTTTTTCCCGCTACTACTCCATCTCTTTCTTCCTGTAAATATCGCCCCCCCTCTCACTCTCTCTCTCTCTCTCTCTCCCTCTCCCTCTCCTCCTCCTCTCTGCTCTCTTTCTCTGTTCTCCCCCACCACCCAGTGAGATCGATCAATTGAAGGCAGTCGCGACTCGTCCGAACGCGACACGCGATACGCCTCAACTTCAAGTATGTGCCGCGTAGCGTCTATGCCACGGAGAAAGTGCAGCGTACTATCTGTTTACCCGTAAAACACGCAATTCGCCAAATATGCGGTAAATAGACGAGGGAGCCGCTGTACGGGCAATGACGTCAGGAAACACCGGAGTTCGAATACGTGGTACATAAAAAGAAAAAGAGAAAGAACGAGAGAGATTATACTGGATATTGGAGCCACAATAGGCACGCCAAAGGTTCTCAACTTGAGAAATCACGTGACTGTGCTCTAGATTACTCGAATATATTATGCTGACTCTACGGCCAGAAAAATGTGGACGTGCAGATTATTGCAAACATAAATCATCTTTCGACACATTTCTATTGCCGGAATATAAACAGTATATGATTGTTTTCATATTATATCAGTAATTCTAATTTTTCTGTCATTTCAACAATTCTTTATAAATATATTGTATCACGAACATCATGGTAATTTTCAAAAATAATTTTCAAAAATATAATGAGATTTTTAATGCTAATTCATACCATATCATGAATATATTTAAAAGTGTATTGCTAGACGGTCAATTTCGCTTTTTTAAGACTGCTCTAATGTTAAAAATCAGAAAATGAAAAAAAAAGAAGAAAAATATATGTATGCTTTCTATATTAAGAGAGCTCGAGATATACTGTAAATAACGATTCATAGGCAATGAAGCTAATATCGATAACATGTTGTTATGCGCGACACTCGACATCACGATCGCGAGTTGTTTGTGTCAGCGAAAAGAATTGTATGCGTCCACGTGTTTACTGATGCAACAATAGCATTACGTGGCATCGAACAAATGATTGCGACGATATGATTAATTCTTGGGATTGCGAAAAAACAAACGTGATGGCATGATGGAACAACGTAAAAAATAATATAGTTTCATGATTAATAAAATCTCCAGTATCTTTAATAAATTCAAAATATCGCGCGCGCGTGTGCGAGTATCTTATTTTAAATGTCAATTATATGTTAATGATATAGATTAAAACTATAAATTAAAAAACTAAAATATCGAGGATGCAAATTTATATCAATCATTGAATCTCGACCAGACGGGAAATCGAGAGAAAAATAATTCAGAGATTTGTGTGATCTATTCGTAAATTATAAATGAATTTTGTTGGAGAGATACTGGAATGACCGTTCGTCCATAACGACGTTTCAATGTCGTTTTTTTTGTACCTGCTTCCTGTGACGTGCGATTTAATTAATTCCTAGGACGTGACTCATCGTAAGCCGGTGCTTGTACGTGCCATTTTGTAGCTGAGAATATCTTTCTATTTTTGGACAAGACTAATTTGGAAGAAAAGCTGCGATCGGAAACATTTCTATATCGATCGAAAGAACGTGATTAATATAATATAATCGAAAATTAATTTTTATTAATATACTGTCGCCTTGTACATATGTATAATTTGCAATAGGAACGAAATATTACGCGTCAAATAATATGGTGATGAATTTGAAATTATTCAATCATTTTAAATTTACGTTTCAAAGTTTCTTTAAGAATTTTTCGTCATAAATAATATAGTAATATAGTAAGTAACATATAGTAAATAAGAAAACAATAAATAAAACCAAAATGTTTTCGATTAATAAAATTAATATTTTCACATGATATGACGACATGTGAATGTCATTGTTATGTTATCTATAATACAAAACTAATTTAATCAAATTTTAATTTGATCAAAAATTAATTTAATATAACAATCATAGCGATTTATTATATCGATAAATAACAGAACATATGAACTCTTATAACAAAACTTTATAAAAAAATTTATAACAAAATGATTGGTAGAAAGAAACATTATATTATTGGCACGTGTCATATATCTTCTTTTTCTTCTAAAACGGGTATCTCTTCCTGGGAGAATGTATCTATTATGTTCCTGTTATTCACATGCCATGCAGATCCATTTTAAAAAGTCGGTTGTGTATCGAGTCAGCTGTACGGAAAATCAATACTCCAGGAAAACCAATAGCGACAGACGATGATCTATTCAACGGACTGTTAATTTTGTAAATATCAAAGATCAGAGAGAACCTTCACTTTGTGCGAACGTTTTGTGATAATTATTATTTGTATAATTCTTTATTCTATTCTTAATTGTTTATTAAAATTAATGTTTAAATAGGTGCTTTTTATTATTTTATATGAGTATGGGAATATTGAGTATCGATTATCAAGTACAATAAATCCTATATTTTTCAGAGCATTTTCCCTTTTTTTTTATTTTTTTTCAAGAAATGTTCCAAATCGTATGATGTGGCGATTCATATAGAATGTTTCATAATAACGTGACCCTACCCGTGAGAGGGGAACCTGTGCTGAAGATGTTGTGGCTCATAGTACTGCGTGGTGAGGGCTCGTTCGTCCAACGTATGCTCAGTCGCGTGGGCCTTTGCTGCGGATTTGATATCCATGAACGCCACCGTCGCTGACGCACCCCCGCTGATCGAGGAACTGCCGCCCCCGCTACCGCCACCGCCGCCTGAACTGGAACCGGAACCGCCCTCATTGCCCTCGCCAAGGGAACTACTGGAACCTCCATCCACAGGGCACTCCTCGCCCCGTGGCAGCAGCTTGACGCTCTGCACGCGTCCATACCTGAAATGTCATTAATCTCTCATGTAACAAATGTCAACGTCATTACCGAGAAGATGCGAGATTCAATAAAAATAATATCTATTTTGGTTATGTGTTTTCTACTTTATTTTTTATTTAATTGCAACGCAAGTCACGAGAAATTTGGTTTCGAAATGTCGTTTACGACTATGTTTAGTTACATCGTTTTCGATATCGAGGTTACTGACCAATAGCTTCGCTATTGAAAATTTAGCAGTTTAAATGTCATCGCAAAGGGTAGCTTTCGTTAAAATATTAAATATTTTTATCGACAAACGAGCGTAATATAAAATGATCGATATAAATTAAAGTCGCGTATCAAGTCTGAAATTCCCTAAAGCACGTGTCAGACTATGAATTGAAGATTATAAATAGAAGATTAGAATTCAATCAATCAAAATAAAACAAATAGAAATAAAATTAAGGTCATTTGATCGACAGAATTCCAATCTTTAATTCATAATCTTTAGTCATCAATTTAAGTGTCGGTCCACAATAAGTGATTTAAGCTTTAAGAAGAAATTGACCAATTATAATCGAATATGAAAAAAATACTCGACTATGATTGGTCAATTTCTTACGGCTTAAAGATTAAATACTTATTGTAGACCGACACTGATATAGCTTAAAGAATATCGTCTATCCAGACTTATATTTTTCAAGAAGCTACCTATTCCCGCGCGTAGAGTGTCCTCCATCAGCAAACATTAGCTAACTCTTGGACGGATATGGCAACGTTGCTCTTCCACACGCGGCAACTGCGCTGAAGGGATCTCGCTGGGATCGTTTAGGATTTCGAAGAAAGGAGAAAAGATGCGGGGAGAAGCATAGAGACTCGGTAATCCTCTGCCTCTAAAAAGCTCTCTTGATACTCGATGCAAGTACAGGAAATTAAGTCCAAAGCAGAAAAGAAGAAAGAGACAGAGAGAAAGAGCGAGAGAAAATAAGGAAAAAAAAAAGGATAGAAGAAACAAGAAAAGAGAAAGACGAGACCTCGATCGAAGTCTTCCTTCGCTATGTTCAGATCAGTACAGATAAAAAAATCGTCGCGGATGTTTTTGCAGAGAAAGACCATGACGGCTCTCGTCGAGTCACGGCACCGCGAAGGATGGGAGGGAAAGGCAGTATGAAAGAAATGGCATATAGATATATAAGGTGTCCAAAGAAAACATCGGCTTTAATATGCCACGTTTCATCTACTGACTTAAATTAGCGATGCGCAATAATACACTGATAATAATATGCTGATTAATGTACGTGAATTTACTTCAAATGCAGCCTTGTTTAAAAAAAAAAGTATATCTTCGAATCAGGAATAAAGCTTGTATCGTATCAGATTTAACGGTTAAATCCGACAAAAGTGTACATTGCATTATAATCTTATATCTTGATATACATTCTATCTTGATCCTGCTTGATCAGCTGCTAAACAAATAAACAAATTAGATGCTACATAGCTAGTAGAATTTAATGCAATGACGATTTTAGACACGCTTTAGGTTTGTATTCGTTTATTTAACTTCTAAATTTGTAATTTTCTTAGATAAGGATGCATTTTTCATCTAGAAATTTAACGATATAAACTCGAACGCGGCAAACGGGGAAAGTTTTTTCAGAACGCAAACGCACCCGGCAGCGCCAATATCGATTTATTTCCCGATTGCACGACGCGCTATTCTACCGTCCCATTGGGAAGCACCGATATCTTTCGCGTTTCACGTCTCGGCCTGGCATCGACGCAATTTTGAATCGAAGTTTCCAACGAAGGGCAAAAGGGAAGAGAGCGGAAGGAGGGATAACGCAGAGAGCGAGAGGTCTCGTTTTCAGACCCTTGTAGTAGAGAACTTAGGATATTGAATTTCGCACGAAATTAAAGAAAACAAAGAGAGTCCGGGAAGTTGTTTCTGGCACACCCTGTGTGTAGAGAGCGCGCGCGACGGAGGTGATACCGTCAAGTAGGGGAGGGAGGCCGTTGTCACGGTGGGGCAAGGTGTGCAGTGATTGGTGGTATCCGAGGGAAACGTTGCGCGCAAGCGCAAACACCAGGACGTACGGGGACTCTCCCGGGGAGTCGTTCGTCTAATCTCGCGTGAGTCGCACGTATCTGCTCTGCTCTGCTCTGCTCTGCTCTCCCGAAGGACTTATCTGCCATTTAGCCGTATAACTTCCGCTGCGTATTCTCATAAGCGTATTTCATCGTAGGGGGGAAAAAGATAACTGTAGAAAAAGATCCTACGCATCGCACGGGACGAGTCGTATCGTATGATCGTTTCGCGCGTTTAGACGGCGAAAGGGAATGGAGGGCTGTGCCGAGAGATCTGGATGGATTACCTGCAGGAATATTTTAACTAGGGCCCTGTCCACAAATTGAAGAGCGCTGGGGGCTAGTTTCTTTCGTAAGAGAGACGAAGTCTCTTGAAAAAAAAAAAAATGCAGCGAACGTGTCTCCGTTGCCTGGCATATGTTTCTCTTCTCGCATCGACCGTTCAAACGGGGCGTGGTCCCCTTTGTCGATTTATCGACTAAAAAATGTTTTTTTGCGTTTCCTCGTTGTTCATTATTATCCATAATGACTCGAATACTTTTCGCGTAGTTTCGATGAAGTCGATCATTAATGAGCGAAAAAAGAGAAACGAGAAATCTTTTGTTCTCGAATATCTCGGCGATCGAGAATTATTTTTGGAGTCTCGATCGCTTCTCAGCGAGGAAAGTATGAGGAAGAAGCAAACGAACGCGTAACGTGTCCACGTATGCATCTGGAAGAATGTTCGCACGAAATGGCGGAC